TCATCTATTCCTGGGGCCTTATTTTTTGCTATTTCCTTCAAAGCAGCTTGAACTTCTTCCTTCATCACCATAGGCTCTGGCTCAAATGCTATTTCATTAAATTCTTCTTAACAGCTTTTATTTTCAAAATTTTTAATTTGAGCTTTACTTACCTCTTGAAATGAATGGATCTTGTAAAGAACAGAACCATCCTTCACATAATAGTTTGAGTCCCCTTTGCATTTTCTAAGCACAGCAGAGGATTAAAGACTCCCAACAAAGTATCAAACTCTTCAGGTATATTCAACAGAAAAGTGCTTATTAATTTGATGAATTTTCATGTGTAAGTACAAAGTTAAGCTTTAGATTTGCTCCTAAATGTGTACTTAGGAAACTAATGAAAATGCTCTTTTGTTCATCTTTCACACTGCTGATAGCCAATATTTGCTATCTGAGTTAAAATAAGCATACTCAGAGAGTCGAGTTCTGATTCTTACCATGTTTGATGCATTCATGTGCTGTATGATCTTTGAATCAGGAACAAGAACTTGCTGTGCTGCAGCTATAAAAAATACAAACACATATGCAAATGATTAATAGTAAGGCTATTTTACAATCATGAACTACACAATACTCCTTTTGCAATATATTCTATATTTTCTCTTTTCAAATGTACTCTGTTATTGTAGAACATTTACATATTTATGGAAAATGAAAGAGCGAGAAGCAAACTGATGTCTTGAATTGTGTTTTTTATGAAGAGTGTTATTGAATCTATCACAGAGTGCCACAAGAACCAACAGGTCTTAAAAGAAGTATAGTCAGTGTGCTCCTTAGAGGCAAACATGGTGAGAATTTGTTTCACATACAGAGTGTGCTAACAGGACAAGGCAATTATTAGGGAATACCATGCTTGGAAAAAATAGAGGGCTGAGGAAGGAGAGGAAGACCTTCAAAGAAAATGGACACTGTGACTATAATAATGTGTTTAAGCACAGCAGAGACTAAGTCTGACACAAGATTGAGTAGGGCTTAATTCCACTGTACATACAGAGGCTATGACTCAATGGCATCTAAGGACAATATGCCAATGACAACTGTTAACATCAATGAAAAGGATTTAAGTTGCAATACTTAAGCAGTTGTTGTTGTGTAATGTTAAGTCCCACTTCTTAAATAACAAGCTTTTGAAAATTCTCTCAACACCAGAGGAACAAGTATAGTTATAGTAGTGTAGTGGTAAAGCCCAGATTGGAAGTCAGTTGAAATGAGGAAAAACAGTAAGAGTGGAGAGCCAGCGAAGGAGAGGAAGATCTTCCAGGTGGATTGATGTGGTGAGTGCCGCAATGGGCTCTTGTGTGTGAGGATGGCACAGAATAGAACAGGGTTCAGATCTTTTGTTCATAGGGTCGCCTATGACTTGTCCTCTACTCAATGGGACCTAAGAATAACAACACAACTGTCAAATCAGAACTGAACCACAGCTGACCCTCCAGCAGGTTTTCAGAGGCAGTACAACACTCAGGAAGAGACTGCCCATCTTTCTCCTATAGAGCAGCTGGTGAATGTGAACTGCATACCTCTGCACTGGTAGTGCAAGTCCTTGACACTAAACCATCAGCGCTCACTACAGAAGTCAGGGAACTTAGAAATCATGAAGCTGTGAAGACTCACTCTCTACACTGTAGGATGATGAACACCTAAACACATGTCTCTATCAGCTTTTTTCAATCAACTTAAGTTTTAAAAGAAAATGTAATCTTTTCCTGCTAATTTAGGAAGAGTTTTAATGCAACTGCTTTACTGACACACTGGGCAGAGTTGTTTAATCATTAAGAATGAACTCTAAGAATTCTCATTTAAAAAAAAAATTCTCATTTTTTACTACTACAATTAAAAAAAACCTAACTAAATGAAAAAATAGTCCTCCTTCATAGATAGAAAATAACAATCCTACTAAAAACATCTACATGTTCAATGCAATCCCAACACAGAAACCAAACAGACAGAAAAGGTTATCAGCAGGTTTATTTGGAAAGGAAAGAAATCTTGAATAAGCAAAGCTCTTCTGAAAAATAAAAATGAAGCAGGAGGAATAATAGTCTCTGATCTCAAAACCTACTATACAGCTGCAGTAACCAAACAGCACTGGCACAATGTCAGACACACACACTAATGAACAGAACTGAGAACAAAGAAATTAACTCATCTTACAGCCAACTGGTATTTGAGAGGACTCAACACTAAGTACATGAGGAAATGACCACCCTTCCAACAAATGGTACTGGCAAAACATCAAAAACTTAAATAGGATCCACATCTCTCATAATACACAAAAATCGACTCAAGATTGATCAGAGACAGAAGGGTAAAGCCATAAAGATCCTAAGAGACAAAATAGGACCAAAAGTAGAAACCCTGGCCCACGGCATAAACAGGTGTAGAGAGTCAGAAATGCACAACCAGAATAGGATAAAATAAAAAAACAGAACCCTCTAAAAATAAGTCCCTGTGTACATCAAAACCTTTTCCCAACAGGGTGGAAAGAGAAACCCACAGAGAAGAAAAAGGCATTTGGCAATGATGTTTTAGACAATCATCTCCTAAAGAAAGTACAAGAATACTACTGGACCTCCACAAGAAAGAGACTGATAACCCAATTACAAAATTGGCAGAACACATGAAAAGACTTTTCAGTAAGGTAGACATTGAGATGGCCAACAAACACATGAAGAAATGCTCATAATCACTGGCAATCAGAGAGATGCAAATCAAAACAATGAAATATATCACTCCAGAAGAAGTGTGATGTTTCCTCAAAAAGCTGAACACACTGTACACCAATGTTCATAGCAGCGTTATTCACCATCACAAGAACATAAAAACAGCCAACCACAATCGAATGAATTGAGAAATTATGGTACATTCATATAATGAATACACAGCATGCAGGAGTAATGACTTTGTTAATTATTACCTAACTTGGGATGGATTTGAGAGCATTATACTGAATGAACTCTCTCAGTCCCACAACAACAAATATTGTATAAAACCATCATTGTAGATTAAGTATGATTATCCAAGGAGGGGAATGGAGGCAGAGGGATGAGGATGTGCAGCAGAAAGGGTGGGATTCATCATGGGGTTGTACAATTTGATGGGGGGAGGGGATTGAGGGAAACTGGAAGAATCTGGTCTGAAAAACAATGTTTTAGAATTCTGTAAATAAACTAGTAAAATAACAATAATAATAATAAAGCTGAACACAGAAATTCCATTATGACCCAGCTACTGCATTACTAGGAACAGACCCCAAGGAAACTAGAACTAAGACACAAATGGAGATAGGTACGCCTGTGTTCATAGCAGTATTATTCACTGGAAGAAAATGGCAACAACTCAAATGTCCATCAAGAAATGAATGGATTAAGAAACTGTGATACCTTTACACAATGGAATACTATCCAGTACTAAGGAGTAACAATTTTGTAAACTACTATTTAACATGGGAAAATCTGAACAGCATTATGCTAGGTGAACCAACTCAGTATCATAAGGACAATGACTGTAGAAAACCATTATTTTTTAAAGAGAAAGATACCTGTAAGATGTATATAAATATTCAGAGCAGGAAAGACAAAGGGAAAAGGGAGTGAGAGAAAGGAAAAGGGCGGAAATCACCGAGATAGTGGAGTATAGTGGGCGGATTGTGGGAGTGAAGGAATAGGAAAGTTTCAATGAAGTAATAATGGGCATAGATCAACACTAATTAATTATATAAAACACAATGTAAACGAAAGATTATGTAAAACACAGCATACCTGATTGAAGCATGATGGAAACAAATTATTGGATAAAAAAAATTTTTTATTTTAAAGTTTTAAAAATCTATACAGTCCTTGTCAATGGATTAGATTGTTCCTATGATCATTAGTCACTTACATCAACTTTAAAGTAATACAAACCAGAAATAAAGGCAATTCTACATAGTAAGTGTAGAAAGAGCTGTTTGATTCCGCAAATTTCAGAGAACAAATAATCTCATTATCCTACTATTCTCTGAGTGAAGAAAATCAAATTTTAATTTATGATGACCTAAAATCCTAGTGCCAGATCTGAAGGCAATAGGAGGAACAGTCATCAAAATAAATTGAAAGGATAACAGTATTTAATGCAAACTGGATAACAGTATTTAATGCAAACTATAGACTGAAACTAGTTATAAAATATCTTATTTGATGTAAATTATAAAACAGCCCCAACAGACCTTTGGCTATCTAACGTATCATCTTTCACCTAACATGTACTCTCAGATGAGACAGTGAAATGATTGCCTAAAGTAATTTCATTTACTTTATCCTTTTTCCCAATAAACACTCAAAAGGTTTCCTGAACTAGAATGTCATAAAAGAAAATACTTGGTACAAGTTTAACAGCCTTTTTTTGGGCCCAGACCTTGCTCAGCTATAAAATGGAGTTAAGAGCTACTTTATAAGTCCTTTCAAAGGTTTCAATGAAACATTATTTACAAAATGTTGTGCAGGTTTGCGCCCATCCAGGGATGAAAAAAAAAAGTTGTGCAGTCACATAAAACATAATGGAGAGCCTATAAACTAGTCTTTTCTCAGCTAAATCAAATCATATGAAAATTAAAATACATATCCTCCCTTTTCTCTCTGAGGAAAATACTGTCAATTCAGACTTATAGAATTACTATGGGATTGAGTATTTAGACGGTTAGTTTATTTTCCTGTACTTAAAATACAGCTACAAAATCAAACTCTTGAAACATATTTTAACAGAATATATTAGTTTTACAAAGCAGGGCAGGGTCACTAGTTTGCAACTTAAAACGGTAGATCTGATTTATTTTAGGAAATGTACTATATATAGATCTGATTTATTTTAGGAAATGTACTATATATACAGTCTTCTCAAAATATTAATGCAACCTAGCTGAAAATTCATGAATTACCCTCTGTCCCATTACCAAAAACTGTAAATCAAGAGTCTACAATTAATGTATCTGCCTTCCTACTTACATGCCTGCATATACATATAGGCACTGATACACAATTTCCTTTGCCAGATGTAAAAGGTGACTATAGCCAGTTTTACCTTGTTGTGATGCAGGAATAAGGACCTGCTGGGTCTGCGTTTGCTGTGGAACTGTCTGCTGTGGCTGAGCTTGCTGGTGATGGTGATGGTGGTGGTGCTGCTGCTGCTGGGGTTGATGCTGCTGCTGCACTTGCAACAAAAGCTGCTGCTCTTCTGAATGAAATCCATCTACTGCCCTGGACTGCATTAGCTTATTCTCCCATAACTAAAAGAAAGGACATTAAGTATCTGAATGAAATTCACATGACTCCAAATATAGAAAAGCTAAAGGGCTTTTTTTACTTATTGGTTTTTACAAGATTCTTCCATTTTCAAAAGTAATCCAATCATAAATCAGTCAATCCCTTCTAATTCTTACCCAAATTCCCCCAATTAAAATAATGAATTTTTAGAGCATTAAATCTCATTTTGCTACTTTTAGAACACTGCAGAGAAGTATTTCCTCAATTTTATACATTCACATTTCCTATAGTAATTCCTTCCTTATAGGGCATTATTTAGCAGAGTTTCACATAAGCTGCTTTAAGAAATGAAAAATCTTTATTACTTTTTTTGCATTATAATATAGTTAAATTAACACATTTTTGTGGTATCACCACAATCCTTAAAGACGGGGTTTCAGGGCGTGAATCTGTGCGACCAAGTCTGAGAGAACTTGTGCTGCCAACCTAAACCAGCAGCTCTCTGGCAGGTCAAATCTGCCAGTGGCTTCGCAGAAGCAAAATCACCAATCTCCTCCCATGTGAGTAACAACCTCTGAAAACACACTGGAAGGTTAGCAATGAGTGAGTTTGTTTTGAAATACTTAATGGAAGATGACAACCAAATCATTCTCCCATTAAGCAGCCATCAGGTTCACACTGCTGACCTTTTGCAGTTTGCAATCATGTGCTTAACACCAAGAGAAAAGAAAAGTGAACAGATAATCCACTTTTTTTTTTACAGGAAAAAAAAGAATGCATTATGGAGGCAATCCTCCAAATAAACAGGTGTGACTTTCTCATGTACTCATCTTACAGAAGTCTAAGGAAGAACATCATTAATAGGTTAAAAACTTTATTCCACAATACTCCTTAACTATTCAGACACGTCCTTTTTCTCACATTCCCCCAGGACAAGTTCTATGATAGAAAAAAGATCAGAAGCAGAAAAAAAGAAAGCAAGCAAGACTCTGTCTACAACTATTTCATTCTTTCCTAAGTTCAGCATTGAACTGAGAACATCAACTCTGAGAATACTGCCAAGAACATTAATATAATTGTCACTTGAAAATAAAAATGAAACATTTTGCATCCAAGGACCAAAGTTCTCTGTGCGTGTATAGTTGTAAAGCCACACACTGCTTTTCCTCTAGGATCAGCTCTTGGAATACTGCCTAATTCATCTTAAGATTTCTATCAGATTCTTCAAGAAGCTCTTCACCATAATTATAAAGAATTTTTACAACTTCTGGATTCCTAGACTCATTGTGGAAGTTCTGGGGTTTGTGTAGACATGCTGTAACAATGCCAGTACACTTCTGGTTCATACTGAAAGGGTCAACCAAAGGCCCTGAACAAAGCCTAGCATTTATTTAGCCCTACATAAAAATCTATTTCTACAGACAATAACAAATACAAAGCCATGAAGAACAACACTACCATATAGTCTAGCACAAAATCAGTGATCAATAAATGTTATGGGTGATGGTAATATTTTCCTTATCTAAGATTAATTAATTACCTCCAATTTACATCCAGATTCCAAGTTTGTTTCTATGGATTTCATACAGAAAACAGTTTCTTCCAATGGTAGTAAAACACTACTTTTAAGAACTCAGGTTACATCTGATTCATCATCACACACAATACAAAGCAGGCATGTACAAAGCAACAATGACTAAAACACCTGACTAATATATTACACATCAAAACCACTGCCATGGAGTCAAATCAAACTCAGAGTGACCCTCCACCTGAGGCTGTAGGTATTTTTTATTATTAATTTTAATAGACATTTACAGAGGTTTTGGATTTCCTTCATTCAATGCCTGCCCTCCCCTCCCTACCAGCTCACTCCCCCCTCCGAAGAGAAAAAGGAAAAAAAAATATTCCTTTATTAGTATACAATTCCCACATCCCTCCCCCCCCACCCCCCACCCTGAGTACACTTCTCTATGCAACCTTAATTCTGGATTCTTTGCTAACCATAATACTCAATCATATAT